CTCCTTCAGTCACTTTGATCTCAGCTTGATGACACATGGTTAGCTCAACCTCTCTTTTACATCAATGTCTGCAGTCATTTTTGCAGGGTGTTCAGCTCAGTCCATCGGCATTTCCATAAGATTTTCCTTCTCTGTATTCAATTTCATAATTATACTGGTTTATCTTTCCAATCCAACGTGCCAGTTGTCCCTCAGGGTTCTTTAATGATTTTAACCAGCGTAACGCAGCATGGTCTCCTGATGGTAAACAAAGCTACTCGAGGGTTAGCTGCGTTAGGCATCTAATTTGGAAGTGATAGGCTAAAGGGAAGACTAGTAAAAACCAACCATCGCCAACTAGTGGGGGTTTTCTTTCTTGCCAGACCAAGTAGTGGAATTTGACAGTCACTCTTATAATTCAGTCCCGGCTCCAAACTTCGGAGCGCGTTTTCTTTATTTATTTTGTTTTCAGTGTGAACCACAAAACTTCAGACAGAGTCAGACAGGCTGATCATTTGGCCAGGCTCGGCCCGAAGCCATTTGGAATGCAGAAATTAAAACTCATGTAAAATGCTATTTGTGTAAGAAAAATATTATCCAACTGACTACTATGGATTGTGGATGACTTGTATGTTTCTATGTTGGGTGCTTAAAAATCCGTTGCTAATTTTATTACTTTAGCAAAATTAATAGTTATGTGTTTTAGAAACTTATTTGAAATATTTATCTTTAAATGTTTTGGAAAATTGGACAAATTATAAACCACCCACCGCCAACTCTTGGGCTACTCTTTTACCAACGAATAGTGGGACTGACCGTCACATTTTAGCGCCCCCACGGCTGAAAGGGCGAGCATGTTTGGTGGGACGAGGATTCGAACCCGCGACCCGCAGATTACGGGACGAGCGCCCTAACTACCTGGCCATGCCGGGCCTTGGAATTATGTGAGGCATTACTTGAATTAGGGGCGAAAACTTTCGTTAACATTGAATGGTGAAATGATGCAATTTATTTAGTAAACGTTTTATATCTTCTAATAGGTTTGAGTTTTAAAATGTTTTGTAATCTAAATGTCTCTTAATTTGAGGTTTACAGAGTATTAATTAAAACTAAGTCTTAATGTTAAGGTCGACCTGGATATATACTGTTGCGTCATCGAGGTCACGTGACTGATGTGGCGCCACCTATTTTCTAGAACTATCCTGTACCTTGGCGAATGCTCTAGTATTTAATAGATATAGGGTAGTCTGGTATATAAAAGAGGGTGACAACGTGACGGGGATATTGTAATGTGTGTGTGAAGATAGTGAGTAATTGAACTGCAGTCAGAAGTATTATTGACGTTCGTTGATATAGCGTTTGTTTTAGCGCGATTGTTGAAAATAAGTGTATCGTAAAATTGTATTCGGAAAGAATAAACCAGTTTTATTAAGTAAAGAACTTGTGTCGCTAAAGTTTCGTCGGAACGAAATTACGGAAAGTTAATTAACAAACGGAGACGTAACAATATATTAAGTTAACAAAGCAAAACAGTTTTTATAATCAAAGTATAATAATAAAAAAGTAAAATTAAAAAATAATGACAGTAACCAGAGGTGTCGCTTGGCACTGGCATACGGAGCTGGTGTCCTGATTCTATTTGACGGTACCCCGAATTTCCAGTTAATGTTTTGAAAAATACGAATAGAAACCATGCCTTCTTTCTTCTTGATTGGTTTTAGATCTTTTGGTGGTATTTAATTAAGACCTGGGAGGGCCGGGTACAATGTTGACATCTTCCTCCCTCACTCCTTGACGTTTGTTTTGGAAACCATGATCGATATAATTCCGAAACGCCGAAAATTCTCAAGCCTATGGGCCCGAATCTTTTAAGCAATTAGCAACGCCTGTGAAAGTAAAAATAAATAAATAATATTGTATTACTTAGGGAGCACAGAAACATTAGCTGTTTACTTGAACTACTATCGTAGAAGTAAATGTTTTGCTGAACATAACATTAGTATAATATAGCTGATTTTTTCCCCAAATACGTAGAGAAACAATGTATAACTTTTACCTTATGTTGTATAATCATATAAAAAAAGGTGCAATTCACACAACTGCTGATAAATTTCAATACTTGTTTTATTTTATTCAAGAAGATAAGATCGAATTCTTATCTCCATAGATTTATAAAATTTGAGCGCGTACGTAAACTCGGTAAAACGGAGAGTGGTTGAAAAATAAACCTAACGTGTTACTGTATAAAAAAATTCAAATTTATGGTAAAATTGAATTTATTATAAGAGGTGCATATTGCTTGAAATTGATACATTAAAGTGTAATTGAAATATATAATTTTGATAATAATATAGTCTGTTTTGGAAGTCAAATGTCAAATATATAGAAGAAAAAAAAAAAAGATAACAATCTTTAAGCCTAACTCTAATTCGTTCAAGTATCTTGGCCTTTATTGTTGTAATCTCTACGTGCAGTTAGACAGCGAAGTGATTTGTGAAATACGTCATGGCATCGGCTGGGGATGGAAAGATTGTTCAGAGAGGAAGCAAGTTCAAGAAAAAACATTTCAAGCCTAAATACCAGAAGACAAAAATATTTCGAGCTAATGAACCAATTTTAAGTGTTTTGATGTGGGGTGTTAACCATTCTGTAAGTTATTTTTACCTTTTAATTTATTATAGTTGTAGGCCTACCACAAACTGACAAAGCAAATAGAGGCTACGCGGCTCGGCGACAGCATATAAACACGTTCTTTCGACAGTTCTTTGGAAAGTTGTTTAGGAGTACGTGTATACAGTATAGTAAATATCCTAACCAAAACGAATTCTTATTGTATTATAAATTTGATGATTGGCTGAATAATGGATTTCACTTTTTCTGGTTTAAGGAATAAAAACGTGGACTGTTTTTATCAACTTATACAAAGTTATAGTGTTGTTGAATGTATTGTACAAGAAACAATGATACATAAAAGATATAAGTGACAAAGAAATGCAACATTTTTAGATTACTCCATTTTTTTCATAACGTAGAAAATATTATAATAAATAGGGTAATTGAAGATGTATTTTTATAAATCATACTTTTTGTATATGTATGTGTGTGTGTATAAATGATGGGGCATCAAAGAATTTTTGGGCATATCAAAGATGTCCTGACTTCCAATCTTCTTGAACAAATAGAAAACTTATCACTAAATCCAGCCCAGATTCTGCAAATATTCATCAGCCTTTTGCTTAAGTAAATTTTAATGAAATTAAGATAAATATGTATAAATGTTTCTGCTAAAATAAATCAATATACAAGACATTTAAACATTATTGTTTATATCTATAAAGCATATTTTGTAGGCATTCTTATTTGAGGAGATTTGATTCAGGTGTTCAGAGCTGTTTGGATAGTCTTTCTATGGGTGACCTGACTGGGTGTTGGAAGTGAAAATATTGTAAATAAAAAGTTTAATATTAGGGTAATAGGCTTATAAGCTTTTAAAAGCCAGTGTACAGACTTGTTCTTCCACAACGTTTTTTGTTTGTAGTTATAAATTTGTGGAATGCTTTGCCTAATGGTGTGCTGTATTATTCTGTTACAATTCTCTTAAAATTTTGTTTTATAGATATATGAAGTACTTGAATCAGATGCAGAAATAAATACACTTATATTTTTTGTTTTATAGTAAGAATTTGATATCGCAAGTCTAAGGTTTTGGTATGATGAAATTGATGCATTGTATTATTTAGATTCTGGAGTTGAACCATGTCAGTATCCCTGTCATGCTGATGCCAGAAGACTTTAAGGCTTTCAGCAAAATCAAAGTGGACAATCATCACTTTAACAAGTAAGTTAATTTTCTTTAACCACTGAATCAATGAATGTTGAACAAGCATGATTATTTATTGCGTTTAAAATGTTCAGTTCAATAAGAGGAACATTCATTGTATTTATCTTAGCTTCTTTATAGATGTTTGTTTTAACTTTTACTGAACAAGTTGAAAACAAAAAACAGATATTTTGTAGTCAAATTACCTCACTCCTTGTTTAAAAGTGCTCCAGCACTTTCCAATTTGATTATATTTCTGAAGATATATTAGTATTTTATCAACCATTCTTTAATTCTGGAGCTCCAACAAAAATATGTTGTGATTTTTTTTAAAATAAAAATTAACATTTAATATATCGGATAGTTGGATAATTAAAGTCAGATTAATTGGCCATTTTCCAAATTCACTTTCTATTGTAGAGATTGATGGTGTAACTTAATTTTTGATAGAGCCTAGAACAATTATAGTTGTTTCACTGTCCGTGAGGTTTACTGTCATGTATTGTATATGTTTGTTGTTGTTGTTTTTCTTTCTCTAGGGAAACTCTTCCTAGCCATTTTGTTGTAAAAGAATATTGTCCTCTGGTGTTTAGAAATTTGAGAGAAAGATTTGGAATTAGTGACGAAGAATATGTGGTATGTTTAATGAGTCTAATTTAACTGTTGAATTAAAAAAAAACTTTTTTTTTATAATAATGTGATATACTTTATAATGCTAAAAAAAATACTGATTCAAACATATACTACATATAGTTGTCGAAGTGATTAGGTCCAATTGTGACGCTTTTCTCATCAATAGTGGCTACTAACAGTGATAATTGAGTTAATCCTTTCCCATCTTGTGTCATGTGACAATGTGAGGTTTATACCACCTAATTCAGCCTCACCTAGTTCTGACATGGTCTGGTGGTTAGGGAGCTCAACTCGCAATCTGTGGGTCGTGGGTTCGATTCGCCGTCACACCAAATATGCTCACCCTCTCAGCTGTGGGGGCATTATAATGTGACTTTCAATCCCACTATTCGTTGGTAAAAAGTGATATAAGAGTTGGTGGTGGGTAGTTTTGACTAACTGCCTTCTCTCTCTAGTCTTATACCTGCTAAATTAGGAATGGAAAGTGAAGATAGCCCTCAAGTATCTTTGCACAGAACTCAAGCCAGACCTATTTCTGATAGGATTTTGACTTTCATGCAGGATAGAGGTATACTTCGATTGATTTCCATCTGTACATAGTTTGTTTTTCATCTTCACTCATATTTACTGAACGTGAAGTAGTAAATGCTAATATGATATTTTTTTGTTCTTTCTCGTGAATATTTATGTTTCATTCACGTAAAATGTTTTGAAGACATGCTTTATTTATGAACTACAATTTGATTTTTTGTTGGTTTGAAAGAAGTGGGTGTGTAGCTTAACAGGAGGAAGCCAAAATGAACTTAGAATAGCTTTATACATCTATTTTAAATGAGGTGTTTTGAATATGATATTGTATTTCACTATTATGTTATTTTTTCATATTTATTTTGTATAAATGTGCATTTCCTGAAAATTATTCTAAAATTCAGCTACTAGATTTACTATAGGTGTAGTAATGATAAAAGTAGGCTTGGACTTTATGGATTTTTTGTTCAAGTTTATTTGATGAAATAGATAAAAATAAATAATATTTCAATTATTGTTCTAATTTTTGTTTGTAATTAAGCACAAAGCTACACAATGGGCTATCTGTGCTCTGCCCACCTCGGGTATTGAAACTCGGATTCTAGCGTTGTAAGTCCACAGACATACCGCTGTGCCACTGGGGGGGCTATTGTTCTGATAATGACTTCTCTTTGTGTCCCAACTTTTCAAAAATAAATAAGAGCGCATGACAGGAAAGCAAGAAGTTTGTTAACCCTCTCCAGATGGGTCATGGGTCAAAGGTCATGTTATCACGTTTGTTGACTTGCATTAAAAATTTTATTGAAATGTTATTTCATGAATTTATGTTAATAAGTTTGGTATCAAACAGTAGATTATAATTCAAATTTTAGTATTATACATTATTAAATTTCTTAATTTAAAAGTAAATATTAAAAAAAACACAGTTAAACATCAATTGTTGTGTGTCATGTGGTAAGTTGAATACAGCAATGGTTCAAATTAGATGTTTGTGATGTCAGAATACTAGGTCTATAGTTTTGTACAAATTAGGAACTCAAATTACTGATATTGACAAACTAAAATATAAAATAAGAACCACATATCTTTTCTATTTGCTGAGATATCACTCATGTACTGAATTAAACACAGTGGCCCTATTCACTTCTTTCTAATTGAATAACCAATTGAAATCTATGAATGTCCCCCTTGTGGCTTTCTCAGTCATTTTCAGGTGTTAAGATGCCATCTCGTTCTTTGGAACCAAGATTTTGAGGAGGTAATTTGTGTCTTTAGTCTGCTCAAAATTTAATATTTTTT